TGTGGAGCATACTCCCTTCATCCTTTCCACTTGCTTTGCTTCTCTCTGTCAGCATAAGCAGAGGGAAGCATCTGGTTCCTCATTAACTACCTAATCAAATTTAGAACAGTGTGGGGTCCTGATCCAAAGCTTAATTGACCAAGTTCTTTGGATCTTGCCGACTACGCCACTGTGACGAACAGGCCAGGTCTGGGCACCACTTAGGGCAAATTGCTCAAAACCAGTACTGCTTACAGCCCTAGACTGGAGACCTTTCCCAAATAGGCCACAAACCAGTCCCACCGAGCGCGTCAGCTGCCCATCCGGCCAGCAGGAAGCCTCATGAGCAAAACACATCACACACCCCAGCTCTCCCTGTGCCACAACCAGCCCCGGGCCTACACACAGGTGAGGGGTTATAGAACCCGATCTCACCCCCCCCGCACGGGCCCCCCCGGCCCCAAAAAACCAGCCACAGATTCCCAGTCAATTTACAATTTAGATCTTACCCACAAGAGCACACTAGGCAAATCCTTTAGAATCTAAAATCTGAAGGTTTATTAAAGAAAGAAAGAAAGAAAGAAAGAAAGAAAGAAAGAAAGAAAGAAAGAAAGAAAGAAAAGGTGGCGAGTAAGGCCCCCCGCACGGGCCCCCCCGGCCCCAAAAAACCAGCCACAGATTCCCAGTCAATTTACAATTTAGATCTTACCCACAAGAGCACACTAGGCAAATCCTTTAGAATCTAAAATCTGAAGGTTTATTAAAGAAAGAAAGAAAGAAAGAAAGAAAGAAAGAAAGAAAGAAAGAAAGAAAGAAAGAAAAGGTGGCGAGTAAGGTTATTAAGTAGAATACATTACATGCACCAATCCCTGCACCGATTTTTCTTGATGCTGGCCCTCCTTAGAGATGTTATAAACCACTCTCTGAAAAGTCTCTGGTGTACATCCTATGTCAGGATGGGTCAGTAATCCTTCCCAGCTCTCTGTCCCTCGCAAGGCTGCATCTGGGGTCAGTAGCAAGATTGAAGACCAGATGGAGTCCGCCTCATGGCACTTTTATATCTCTGGTGGCTCCCAAACTGGAGCTGGTCACATGACGGCATGATTCACATGTCAGCAGCCATGAGATACGGACTGGTTTGCATGTTTCCAATCGCATTCCTCAGGTGTGAATTGAAAGCCATTGTCCTTACAGCCATGCTAATTAGCATAGTCATTGACTGAACAATCCTTCTTTATAACAGGCAGTCCAGGCCTGCTGCTCTGTCTCAGGCAGAGAACATTCACAGTACAAGCACAGAGTCCATAGTCATGACTCCACATACAGACATCACACAAGAACATGAGCAGCACACATAGAATCAGTAGAACATAAGCTTTCATTTGACACCTCACATGGCCCTGTTGTACAGACTTTGGGGCAAACCTCCTCCCCCCCCCCTCGTGGTACAGCAGTGATCTGTCTGCTCATGATAAAATCTGATAATGTGACAGGGGGCATGTCTTAGAAGGGCTGAGGGGAGTGAGAAGGGCAGGAGCCAGGATAGCCGAGGAGGATGAGGGGTGGGGGGCTGCTGGCACCAGGGGAGCAGATGGGGTGAGGGGAGGGGAGGAGACATGGCAGCAGAGGGGAAAAGGGAGGGGTTTATAACTTAGGTGCCACTGTGGCACAAGCACACACAACCTCAATACTGGTGCATGAAACAAAACTCACCCCGCTCATGGATGGAAAATCTTAGAGGGAACACTGGTCCAGGACAAGGGGGGAGGGAGTTGAAGATAGGGCTGTGGGAGGTGACGGGGGTTGAGGGATGGGTACTGAGCCCCACTGTGATGTGGCCTGTGGCCAGATCCCAAAGCTGAGGACAGGAACTGTGTGGCTGGAGCCAGGGACTGGAGGCTACCACCATGCGAAGAGAGCTGTAGGACAGGACCACAGGCCAATGCTTATTGCAGCATGGCCAGAGCCCGGAGATGGGTGCCAGAGCCCAGAGACAGTAGCAGCCACCTCGCTGCTGCATGGTCAGAGCCCGGAGCTGGGTGCTGGAGCCCACGGTTAGTGGCTGGCGCCAGGAGTCAGCACTCGCTGCTGCATGGTCAGAGCCCGGAGCTGGGTGCTGGAGCCCACGGTTAGTGGCTGGCGCCAGGAGTCAGCACTCGCTGCTGCATGGTCAGAGCCCGGAGCTGGGTGCTGGAGCCCACGGTTAGTGGCTGGCGCCAGGAGTCAGCACTCGCTGCTGCATGGTCAGAGCCCGGAGCTGGGTGCTGGAGCCCACGGTTAGTGGCTGGCGCCAGGAGTCAGCACTCGCTGCTGCATGGTCAGAGCCCGGAGCTGGGTGCTGGAGCCCACGGTTAGTGGCTGGCGCCAGGAGTCAGCACTCGCTGCTGCATGACCAGGGCAGCTATACAGGTGGGGCCGGGGATCAGCATCAGGGCTGGGGGCCACATGGCTGGAGCTCTGGGATTGCATCTGTTATGTGGCTAGGGCAGGGGATCCACGAGGGGCTGAGGCTGGGCGGCTGGAACCAGAGGCCAGAGGAGTAAGCCCTGCAACTGTAGGCCAGGGCTGAATGGCCAGAGCTGGGGGTGTTTGTGTCAGTAGCTGCTGCCTCCACCACCCGGTTCCTGAAGTGCTGATGCTGGAGTCGGCCACCCAACCCCCCTCCCCTCAACCTGGGTCGAGAACTTCCCTTCCTCCGGCAGGTGCATCCAGGAGCAGCAAGGAGGGAGGAGGAGGGGCCAATGCTTTGCCAGCTCCCCATCCCCACCCAGGATGCTTGTGCAGGCGCAGAAAAGCTCCCGGGGGCAGCACTGGAGAGATGTTGCTCCTGAAAGCCTTGGCCAGGCCAGCGAATGGGAACGCAGGAGGAGAACCTGTCCCTGGTGCAGGCTTCCTCCCACCCCCGGGCCCGGTGCTGAGCGGGTTGTTGTGACGGGCGGTTCCTGCCTTGGCGTTTCGCACAGCTCTGCTGATGAGCCACGGCCAGCACCTCCGGGGCCGGGGATCACCCAGGACAACAGCAGGTGGCACCACACCCCCAGCTGAGTCGCTTGCGTGCTTTATTGAAGCCTCTGGTGGGCCAACAATGGAGGCACTGACCAATTTTCCAACTCCTCAGCCTGGCACCAGGCTGGGAGCATAACCCCTGAATTACACCATTCGCCAGCCTTTGTGAATGGAGCTGAGATTCCCTAACACTTCAGTCCAAAGCAGGCTGGGGAAGGGAAAACATAACAGGGGTTTATTAACTACAGAACGATGGATTTTAAGTGATTTCAGGTGTAGCAAGGAGTGTGCAGGGGGAACACTACTGAGCATCTACACTCAGGCTACGCCTAGACTGCATCTCTCTGTCGACAGAGGGATGCAAATCAAGCACTTTGAAAGTGCAAATGAAGCCAGGATTTAAATATCCCGTGCTTCATTTGCATAAATATGGCCGCTGCTTTTTTTGGAAACAAAGCTTTTTTGAAAAAAAAGAGGCAGTCTAGACGCGGATCTGTCAAAAAATAAACCCTTCAAAGCTTTTTCGAAAAAAAAAAAGAGGCAGTCTAGACACGGATCTGTCAAAAAATAAACCCTTTTTCGAAAGATCCTGTATTCCTCAAAAAATGGGGTTTACAGGATCTGTCGAAAAAGGGTTTATTTTTCGACAGATCCACGTCTAGTCTGCTGTTTTTTTTAAAAAAAGTTCCTTTTGAAAAAAAGTGGCAGCCATGTTTATGCAAATGAAGCACGGGATATTTAAATCCTGGCTTCATTTGCACTTTTGATGTGCCTAATCTACATCTCTCTGTCGACAGAGAGGTGTAGTCTAGACACCACCCCAGAGCAAACGGTTTAGAGATACGGCTGCCACAGTTCAAGTTTGGGGGTCCTGCACTTATAAGGTACTTCAAACCGTACCCCAAGAGAATGTCTTTTTCACCACGCTGGCTAACAAGAAGTAATAATACTGCCGTTCTCCTTTATCACCACCAGCGGCACTCCTGATAGGGCTGAATGGTTATGAAATCCAGTCTTATCCAATAAAAGGTTCTTCCAGTCACATGCCTTGGTCAACATATATCTCAGGTCTTACCCAAAATCACAACCTTGCTGGTCCTTTAGCATCTATCATCGAAAAGTTTATTTATGAAAAAAAAGAAAGGGTGAGAGTTAAAGTTGTTAACAGAATGAAATCCATACATCAATTGCAACGTTCTTAGGTCTGGCTTGGAGCACTGATGAACTAAACTGCTGGATGAATTGTGTGAGGCAGGAAGGCTGAAAACCCAGAGGTTCAGCTGAAGGAGATGGTGAAGCCTAGAGGTTCTCCTTACAGGAAATGCAAGAGCCCCTTGGGGTCTGGCACACTGAAGGGGTGCCTTCTGGAGACAGTTCCAAAGTTGGGGGTGTCCTGCAGATCCAGGACACTTGTTATAGCTCAATATTTCAGACATTTACAGAGTCAACAGTAGAGTTTCTCCTGTCAACCTCCAGCGGTGTAGAGCCGATGGTTAACTCGACCTAAAGTAAGCTGACTCCAGCTCTGTTATGCATGTAGCTGTAGTTGTGTACCTTAGGTTGACTTTCTGTGGCAGTGTAGACATAGTAAAGAAATGAGATAAAAAATTGACCTGAGTGTGAAAGTGCAAATGTTGTTTCTCCTGCAAACATGACTTGTTCAGATGCAGGAGAATAATAGCGTTTGGACCTGTTCTTCAGTGTTACTTGTGTTACACCAGTTTTCACCATCTCAGGGCAAGCCTTCACTCACCACGCCGGAGCTCGCTCTTCTGGTGTTTGATTTAGCAGGTCTGGTTAAGTCCGTAAATCGACTGCTGAGAACAGCTCCAGCTGGTGCTTGTACTCCTGCAGTCGTGAAGAGTAAGGGAAGTCAACGGTAGGGTTTGCTCCCATTGGCCTTCCTCTGCGAAGGCGACACCAAGCTCAGCTTAAGGTAAGCCAACCTCAGCTATGAATTTTACATAGCAGGAGCTGCATATCTTAAGCCGATCTTCTAGGCCTAGTGTAGACCTGGCCTAAGGCTCTGCGTTTTAAGGATATCAGAGTATCTTTCATCTCTACTCTACAGAGTGACTTGACAAACGTACAGCGACAAGTTTCTCCACCTAAAGGGGGGGGCCGATAGAACAGCGAGGATTTACAAGCATGCCCCATGGAAAGCATCTCAGGAGCAAATGGGAGTGCTGAAGCACACTAGGGAATAAGATACAAGCGTTCCTAATTTGCAGGCATTTGGAAAAATCCTCAACTTGGCCATACGGCGCTGGAGAATGTATGTCCCCATTCTCACACACAGTATCTAAAGGTCACAGACCTGAAAGAGTATCAGAGGGGTAGCCGTGTTAGTCTGAATCTGCAGAAGCGATGAGGAGTCCTTCAGTCAGACGTGAGATCTTGCTGTATTTATGTTTTTTTTGGCAGCATTAAGTATTATTTATGAGGAGACTGTGGATTCTGGATTCCACCAGCCCCCACCTGCCATGCCAAACTCAAGGGGACGTAGTGTATCGGCGTCAGCTCCAGAACTGAGGCCGTACGCGATGCTTAGGGTCAGGCCGAAATCCTGCTGAGTTTAATGCCTGTTCCTGGGACTGGAGGCTCTCTTAGGCCTTCCTGCACTTCCTCAGGCTTCTGGTGGGATCTGCTGTGTCTGAGTGGCTTCTGCAGGAGCCTGAGGGGAGGGCAGGGGAGAAGGTTGGCTCAGCCAGACTCAATGCTTGTTCCCCTGCAGGTGCCACTCTAGCAGTGGTTGTGGGATGAAAGAGAAACTCTAGCTCCAGCTGTGATCTACATCAGATTTGCTTGGGGGCACAAGGAGTGTGTTGAATTGTCCTGCTTGCCAAGTGATGTCCTGGATTAGCTAGGTGAGCAATTGACTGCTGCTGCTGCATTTGCATGACTATGCACTGGCTGAAAAGTCCCAACCACGAGGAGTTCTTTGGAACAACCTCGCAAACCTTTGTCGGATCTGCTTGGTTTTCACCCCATACACGATTGGGTTGAGCACCGGGGGCACCATCAAGTGGACATTGGCCATTACGACGTGGACGCTGGAACCATGGGTGTTCCCGAACCTGTGCACCATGGATAGGCCAATGAAGGGCACGTAGAACAGGAAGACTGCGCAGACATGGGAGAGGCAAGTGCTCAGCGCCTTGAGCCGGGCCTCCTGGCTCAGCCTCAAGGCGGCCCGGAGAATGAAGACGTACGACAGGGAGATCAGCAGGGAGTCCAGCCCGACGGCAGAGATAATAACAATCAAGCCATAGATGATGTTGACCTTTATGTCGGCACAGGCCAGCTTCATTACGTCCTGGTGCAAGCAGTAGGAATGGGAGAGGACTCGGGACCTGCAGAAGGGCAGTCCTTTAATAAAAATGGGCAAGGGGGCCATCAAAGCAGCGCCTCTCATTACCGCCGCCAGCCCGATCTTGGCTATGCGGGGGCTGGTGAGAATGGCAGCGTGCCGCAGGGGGCAGCAGATGGCCACGTAGCGGTCGAAAGCCATGGCCAGCAGGATGGTGGACTCCATGCCTGAGAGAGAGTGGATGCAGAACATCTGGACCAGGCAGGCGTCGAACTCAATGGCAGTGGAGTTGAACCAGAGGAGGTCCATCATTCTGGGCATGGTGGAGGTGGAGATCAGGATATCGATGGCGGCCAGCATGCAGAGGAAAAGGTACATGGGCTCATGGAGGCTTTGTTCGGCTCGGATGATGTAAATAATGGTGCCATTCCCCAGCACAGTGAACAGGTACAAAGCGCCAAGAAGGAAAGCCAGCCAGAAATGAGATGCCTCCAGCCCTGGGATCCCAATCAAGATGAAGGCGGACGTGCCGGCACTGCTGTTGGTGGAAGCTGACATGGGTGGGGTGTGAGTCTATTGTCCAGCTGCCTCTACAAAAGCCTGGAAGCAAAACAATGATCATTACCAGTATCCCAGCAAGTCCCTTTCTCATCTCACTGCTGCTACTGGCCTCGCTCTGTTTGGCTGGTCTGAGTGTAATCACAGCCTGTCCCACAGAGCTGCCTGAGGCTGCACAGTCTGCAAATATAGCCTGGCTGTCAGCACTCATAGAATCATAGAATCACAGAACGTTAGAACTGGAAGGGACCTCGAGAGGTCATCGAGTCCAGTCCCCTGCGCCCATGGCAGGACCCAGTACTGTCTAGATCATCCCTGGCACACATTTATCTAACTTGCTCTTAAATATCTGCAGCAATGGAGATTCCGCAACCCCCCTAGGAAACTTATTCTAGTGTTTCACCACCCTGAGAGTTAGGAACTTTTTCCTAATGTCCAACCTAAAACTCCCTTGCTGACGTTTAAGCCCATTGCTTCTTGTCCTATCCTCAGAGGCTAAGGAGAACAAGTTTTCTCCCTCCTCCTTATGACACCCTTTTAGATACCTGAAAACTGCTATCATGTCCCCTCTCAGTCTTCTCCTTTCCAAACTAAACAAGCCCAATTCTTTCAGTCTTCCTTCACAGGTCATGTTCTCTAGACTTTTAATCATTCTTATTGCTCTTCTGTGGACCTTCTCCAATTTCTCCACATCCTTCTTGAAATGTGGTACCCAGAACTGGACACAATACTCCAATTGAGGCCTAATCAATGCAGAGTAGAGCGGAAGAATGACTTCTCGTGTTTTGCTCACAACACACCTGTTAATGCATCCCCGAATCATGTTTGCTTTTTTTGCTACAGTGTCACACTGTTGACTCATATTTAGCTTGTGGTCCAGTATGACCCCTAGATCCCTTTCTGCCATACTCCTTCCTAGACAGTCGCTTCCCATTCTATATGTGTAAAATGGATTGTTTCTTCCTAAGCGGAGTACTTTGCATTTGTCATGATTAAATTTCCTATTTACCTCAGACCACTTCTCTAGTTTGCCCAGATCTTTTTGAATTATGACCCTATCCTCCAAGGCAGTTGCAACCCCTCCCAACTTTGGAATCCCTGGGGGGCACAATGATACCCACAGTACATGCCAAGAGCTGCAACTTAAGCATGTTTGCATAATTATGCAAATACATATGCAAATATATGCAAATAGCTTCTTTCACGCTATGTCCCGGGACTCCCACCACCTTCTCCCTGGGGGCTAGAAATGCCAACACCCTTTACTCATCTGTTCTAGCCAGCCCGTCCACTTGCATCTTTCAATGCTCACCCTGCCTGGGAGATGCCTCGCCATTGTGGAGCGTGTTCCCAGTGGAAGCCAAGTTCAAAGGATTCCACTCATGGGCCATGTTGAGTAGCCCTTGTGGCTGAACTAGAGAATATTATTGAATGAGGTACCCACTCAAATATCATTTCAGCTAGGGATGATCTGGATGGTGCTTGGCCCTGCCTTGAAGGCAGGGGACTGGACTCAATGACCTCTAGAGGTCCCTTCTCGTTCTCACGTTTTATGATTGCCCAGCCAAATTCAATAAATATGGTTTAAAATAATGAGATTTAAATACACTAATGTGCAGTTTGCTTTCATGTGGCTTTGCTGCCTGAGCCTTTGGGATCACCTGCTTCGTGTTTTCTAACTTTTCGGCAATTCAGAGAGAGAACAAAACCCTAGGAAAATTCTGAGATTCCCACATGGGCTCTGAATCCCAGACGTTGGGAATTTCAGAAAGAGAGGAAATAGTGTGAGACTCCCCATAAAATCCCCAGGGCTGCTGGGCCTCACTCAAGTGGGGCATCCACACATGAAGGTGCTGAGAGCTGGTTAGGAGACATTTCTGGGCACACGGTCCATCAGCGGCAGACACGCTGTTTCCCTCTGCACAGGGCTCCCAACCTGCCGATTGTGAGCAACAGGGTTCCGCCCTAGACAGCTGAACATCATGGTGACGGGCGCACAGGGTCACTGGTTCCTGAGCCATGGCTCAGTGGGTCCCTTCCGCTGTTCAAGCATGTGACATGCACCGGCCGGTCATGCAAGCCCACGCACGTAGCTTAATAGAAACGGGCTTGACCCTAGCTCAGCTCCAAAGGCCTGCTGCTAGCTCTGCATTGGACCCAAGTGGCCCCCTCCTTCACATCCCGCTACCCCCACTCTTGGCGATGCTGGAGATTGGATGCAGGGTGGGAGGTCCGTCTCCAGCGCCAGAGTAGCTCTCACTGCTCATGGCTCGGTTCAGCCAGGCAATACTTTCCAGACCTTTCGCTCTCTGGAAGCACCGTCTGATACCTCCTCTAACTGCTGAGCTGCAGGAGGGGCCCAGAGCTCCCTCACCAGAGTGCTGTGGTCATGAAAGGCCTTGTCAGCCAGGGGGGTTGGGAAGAAAAGACCTGAGGTAAATAGGATGAAATTCAATAAGGACAAATGCAAAGGACTCCACCGAGGATGGAACAATTTGCTTTCCACACGCAGAATGGGAAGAGACTGTCTAGGAAGGAGCACTGCAGAAATGGATCAAGGGTCATAGACTACGTCTACACTGAAGGCTTCTTGTGCAAAAACTTCTTGGGCAAGAGAGCGTCCAGACTGCAGCCAACAGAAACCTCCCCCCAATGCATCCCCCATTTTCCACCTACCAGACTGGCCAGGGGGGTCCTCAGGGTTCCTGCTCTGGGGTGGTGGGAGTAGAGGCTTGCCCTGTATGGAGGGAAGGGTTTTCGAAGGGCTGTAGCCCTGTGCCCTGGAAGGTGCTACCTCACATGATAGGCTGTGCATGGTCCTTGTAGATCTGAAGATTATTGTATGTGGCTCCGAGGGGCAGTATGTTTGGCCACGGTCACTCTCCAATGACTAACACAGCCAGGTCATTCTCCTCGCTGGCCGTTTCCAACATACTGTGGGCTGTAGAAAGAGAGGTGCTGGGAGTAGAAGTCAGGAGGTGGTCTTACTTGGGTGTATGGCATTGGTGAGGTGAATGCTGCAACCCAGCATCCAGATCTGGTGCCCAGACTGAAAAGATGGAGAGGGAGCAGAAAAGAGCCACAAAAATGCCTGAAGGGCTGGAGAAAATGCCTGACTGGGAGAAACTTGAAGAGCTGAACTTGCTTCGCTCACCCACTGGGTTGTAGTGTTCATAGGGACAAAATGCTGGCTACTAACTGGCTCTTTGGTCTATCAGGGAACGTCATAACACGAACCAATGGCTGGAAATCAAAGCCAGACACATTACATGTGGAAATGAGGTGCACATTTTTAACAGCGAGGCTGTTTAGTCAGTGGAACAAACTCCCAAGGGAAGTGGTGGATTCTCCTAATATCTCCAAACCAAGACTGGAGGCCTTCCTGGAGGAGATGTGTTAGAGCAGGGAACCTTTTTTGGGTCGGGGGTGACTGAACCACAGAAAAATCAGTCAGGGGCCACACACAAGTGATGTGGCCCCCAAACGAGAAGGAGAAAGACACTCTCCACATTCTCCTCCCATACCAGAGCCTGGGGGGCTCAGTCTAGTAGATTTTGTGTGCTCCAGTCCTACCGTGGGGCAGTGGTGGGACTGGAGCGCCAGCGTGAGCTCCCCAATGCTGGGTGGGACCCGGACCTCTGTGGGGCAGTGGTGGGGCTGGAGTGCCAGCGTGAGCTCCCCAATGCTGGGTGGGACCCGGACCTCAAGGGCCTGATCCTGGCAAGCCAGGGGCCACATCTGGCCCCCGGGCCTGAGGTTCCCCACTCCTGCATTAGAGGAACACATTAGCAGTTAGTCAAACACAAGACATTGGGTTGAATGCAGGCGTAACGTGGGGAAATCCATCAGCCTGTGCTATTCAGGACATGGGATTACATGACTTAATGGTCCCTTCTGGCCTGAAAAGCTACGGTCTGGAGCAGATTGCTATCTTGGATGCCACCGGAAGAAGTTGCACCCCTGAATGCTGATGGCCACCCAACAAGAACATACATTGGCCAAGCACAAATTCCTAATGGCAAAATCAATACATGGATGATCAGTCCTTACACACACCTACCAATCCTAATAGGTACTCCCCACATCTCAGTTCCCTCAAGAAGGCTATGTCTAGACTGCAAGCCTCTTTCGAAAGAGAGCGTCTAGACTGCACGCAGGTCTCAGTTCCCTCAAGAAAACAGCCTCTGAACATCTTCTTTTGGCTCTTCGGCAAGTCTCCTGTCCTCATCCCTTTAATCCCACCTACACTAGGAGATCAGTCCTGCTGACAAACCTCACTTCCTACTGTAGCCAAGGGGAGGGAAGGGTGTTTAGCTTGTCCCAGGATGCTCATGTTATGGGAGATGGGTAGTTTCCTAAATGGAACATGAGCAGAGGTGGTAGAGTACGGCTCACAAAAGCAATCAAGCTCCTGTGGAGGTCATTTCAGCTTGCATTGTCCGAACTCACCAGGATCTGAAGGAACTGCCGCCGAGAATTCTCATTGCTTCCTCAGATAGGGAAATTCAGTGGGGGCTGCAAACAGCCTTGTGTTGCTATCTGGCAGTCTCACTGCACTGGCTTATTTATCAGCCTTCTGAACGCCCCCTCCCGGGGATGGCGCGGTCCGCTGGGAATTCCATTCGGAGGCCGTGAATTTTGCAGATAAACAGGCTTTGCCTCCTTGCCCCTCCCTCGCGTACCGAGATCCACGGCATGGGAGTGACGGTGCTTAACACTGATAGGGCACCTGTCATCCGGAAGGATCCTAGCATCCATTCCTGACTGATTGAAGGTGCATGAAGGATTTATGTCTTTTATCACCGATATGCGGCCGCTTTTTGGGACAGAATCCCTACCTCTTTTTTTTAATAGCCAATGTCAACACAATAGTTCTGGGCAAGAAGTCAAGAGGATGCTGTGTCTTCCTCCTTTTGATTAACAGTTTTTATTGAACAAAGAGATAAAAGAGAAATGAAATAGGGGGAACGAAATAGGCCTGGGGTAGTTGCCCCTTTTGC